CTCTCCTCCCACCCCAAAAGGTCGGAGAGGGGTTCGCCCCTCCTGGCCAGGCCATTTTGCTCCCTCAACTCCTCGGCACTCACCTGCCGGCTGCGCTTGGACGCGTCCTTAGCAGATCGCTGCAGCTTCCCTTTCTCCATGGCACTAAAATTGGGCCGGAAGGGAAAAAGGCGGCTCAGAGAGGCCAACCTCCGCTCCAGGCGGGCCCAGCAGCCCCGATTCAGGGTGGTTTTGCCCCAGCTGGGCAGTGGGGCTCACCTCAGCCGTCGCTGCAGGGCTGCCTGCCGCCGCAGCCAGCAGTAGCGGATGAGATAGATGAGGGCCACCACCACGGCCACCAGCAGCAGAGCCCCGCCAATGATGGAGCCCAGCACGACGCCGTAGCGGGTGGGCACTGTGGGGACACCAGCGCCCCGTCAGCCCCCCAGGCTGCAGTGGGGAAACCAAGGCGTGGAGGGGACCACTGGTGCCATACCTTTCTCGAAGACATACAGCGTGACCTGGGAGGACTTGCCCACGATATCAGGGGGGTTCTTGACATCGCAGGTGAAGGTGCCATTGTCGGTGTAGTCCAGGTTGTGGATGACGATGGAGCCATCCTTGCGGTGGGGATTGCCCACCCACTCCATCCGCTCCTTGAAGCTGCCCACGTCATCGATGTAGGGCTGGCCCTTGGCATAGTGGAATATCTAGCGGTGGGGACACACACACGGGCATCGGGGTCACGGTGGCTCTGGGCATGGCAGGGCCACCCCCAGCCCCAAAGTGGAGCAGGTGCTTACGGAGATGCTGTCGCGGGAGCCCTCAGCTTGGAAGTGCCAGGTGATGGAGATATCCTCGGAGATCCACTCGCTGGACCAGAAGCTGCAGGAGAGGGTGACGTGGGAGCCAACGGTGCCATACACCTCCCGCTGCGTGTACACGTGGATGGACGATGTCGGGGACGGCCCTGCCAGGGGGTACAAACCCATCAGCCCCACGGGGGACCCTGGCACAGGGACGGTGCCCATCACTGGGTCCGCTGGCTGGTCTGTGCCCCTGCGCTGGCCCCACGCCCAGCCCCGTGCTGCCACCAAAGGGCTTTTGTTGGCCCCGGAGAAAGCACAAGGGCTGGTGGGGGGCCAGCGGACAGCGGCTCTTTGTGCCACTGCGGGTGCCTCTGCAGGGAGCCTCTGCCCTGGCGTCCCTGCGGCCGGCTCAAAGGGGACCATGTCCTGGTGCCAGCTGATGCCCGGGGATGCCAGCAGGGCTGGGTCTGACACCCAGCTCCCCTCGTCCATCCCCAGGGAGCTGGCTTGTCCTGGGATGCTCCTTGCAGACTGGTGGTGGGGACTGGGG